AAAAAGAGGGTAGAAAAAAATTATGAAGTGGAAAAATCATACAGAATATGAAGGACAATTGATGGAAGATTTACAAATGAAGTCTTCGATGTATGGTTCTCATATTTTACCAAGACGTCCTGTAATCTTGTATTAAACAATAATTGGTTGTCCTCACTTGTGTTGTCGTTTACTATACATGTATTTTTGAAACCACACTTAAATTTGTTCTACCAAGTAAGATTTATATTCACATCAATGATCAAAATGTTTAAGACTTTCTTTATCCAAGAATATTTTTGATTATATACTTACTTACTTACTTACTTACGCCTGTTACTCCCAACGGAGCATAGGCCACTGGCCAGCATTCTCCAACCCACTCTGTACTGGGCCTTCTTTTTTAGTTTCATGCAATTATTGTCCATTTTTCTCATATCTGTCTCCATTTCTTGGCGTAATGTGTTCTTTGGTCTTCCTCATTTCCTTTGGCCTTCAGGATTACAAGTGAGGGCTTACCTTGTGACGCAGTTGGGTGCTTTCCTCAATATGTGTCCTATCCACTCCCAGAGCTTCTTCCAGATTTCTCCCTCCACTGGGATCTGGTTTGTTCTCTCCCACAGTAGGTTGTTGCTCATAGTGTCTGGCCAGCGGATCAGAAGTTTTTTGCGTAAACAGCTGTTAATAAACACTCGTATCTTCTGGATAATAGCTTTCGTAGTTCTTCAAGTTTCCACCCCTTACAGTAAAACTGTCTTTACATTTGTATTGAAAATCCTGACCTTGGTGTTGATTGACAGTTGTTTTGAGTTCCAGATGGTCTTCAGCTGTAAATATGCTGCTTTTGCTTCATATCTGCATCAGATTCACCGTGTTCACCAATGATGCTGCCCAAATATGTAAAGGTTTTTACATCTTCCAAATTTTCTCCATCAATTGTGATTGGATTGGTGCATGTTGTATTGTATTAGAGAATCTTTCTTTTAGCTTTGTGTACATTGAGACCTACTGCTACTGAGGTTGCCGCTACACTGGTTGTCTTCTCCGGCATTTGTTGTTGCGTGTGCTATAGAAGAGCCGGATCATCTGCAAGGTCTAAATCGTCCAACTTCATCCCATCTGTTCACTGTATCCCATGCTTGCCCCAGATGTTGATGTGTTCCTGATCCAGTCGATCACTAGGAGAAAGAGAAGAGGTAAGAGTAAGCAAACTTGCCTGATGCCCTTGTTTCCAAGCACCTCCAGGTTGTATCTCTCTATTTCTGCAGCAATTCGGAAGACTCCTGGTCTCCCACATTGTATTAGTATTTCATGTACCTAAATTAATGGTTGCTCTGGTTGTCAGAAGGGGCATCAGCCTCGTAACTTCTGAAGGATCTCGGCTTTCACCATGAAGAGTCATAACTCTTCTAAATGATGACCTTCTAACTCCCAAGACAGAGTTCAAATGGTTTGAATTATTCTTTCTGGTTAGCGTTTTTTTAGCGAGTCAGTTTTCTACGAGATGGGTTTGCCAACCCCATGCCCAACCCTCCTCCTTTATCCGGGCTTGGGACTGGCAGTAGCCTTAGAGTGGCTTCAGGCGGAGTTCTTGATTATATAAGTTATATAATATTCATAGTTGTATCTATGACTATTGAATATCAATATAAATGTAGACAAGATTTATAAAGTTTATTATTTATTAAGTGAGGTATGATAATTTACTTATTTTGAAATGATTTCGACCATAGTTTACACATAGCTTGTATTTATTTTACAGCTAAAGGCTTAAACTGACAATTAAAAGGGTAAGACATTTTGAAAAAGCTTTTATTTATGTGCCTCATTAACTACTTTAGGAAATGCTATAATGTTTACTTAACCCATTCGTCTTACACTCTAACCAGCTTTCTTATCTTTTTAGGATGACATCCATGACCTGTATACGAACTTGTTGGTTTATGGAACAAAGTTGCATGAGATTGAAAGTATTTAAAAGTTGACAATAAATAGAAACTGTTAATGAAGTTACTTAATACGACGCACGGCTAGTATACCCACTTAACAACAAAAACAGATTTCGTTTTAATCCTTATGTGGTACTCTTCAGGTTCTATGCAATCGAAAATCCAAAGCGATGTAGCACTGGGATTTCGTAATCTCGGATTAAGCATTGTCTACCTACAAACAGTCAATAAATTAACTCAAAGGTTTCTGAACATAACCGCAGGATGTTTAAGGGTATTCTAGGAAATGAGGAGAGGATGCTCTGATTAACGAGTTCAGGTTGGCTATGAACCTCAATCGAATAAAAACCGGAAACCATCACTGCCTTCTTATAATTCATTATGCAATAATGAAAACTTCAAAAATAAAATCTCAACTCAAAAGAGGCAAAATAACCTTACTACAGATAAGTAGCTGGCGCTAATGAAGCTTCCCAGCACTTACTTTTACTTAGAACTTCGAAAATCCGAAGTTACTTTTTGTCTGAACAGAAGTTTGGACATTTAGAGAACTGTAGCTGACAGATATATGTACTCTGCTTACAAGCATTAAGATGGCTAGCTTTGTTGATAACAAACAACAACATGAAAAACTTCATACAAATAGACCAATCCTTGCACGATAAAAAAGCAACAACTTCAGTTACGTCATGAAACCAGTGAAAATAGAAACAGAGTAGGACATCACACCAACAATGGCTTGTGAAAAACGTGGGACTCAAAATCTCTCAATTAAAGCGACCAAAGGTGTAAAATTCAAAAATTAAGAATGAGTAACCCTTTTTACATTTCCTACATGATATAATACGATCGTCGTCATTCAATATTTCTAAATTGTATACTTTAAAAGCGTTTCAAATATAAAATGACATATTGTTTGTTTGAATCTTCCCATTGATATTTAGGACTGCAAATGATCAGTTTCTATTAGCCTTAAGTCACAAGCATTATAAGCAAAGATGGATGGTGGCTAGCAGTGGGATCCAGGACACACGTTTCGTCCTATTTGAGACTTAAGGCAATATATAAACAATCCGTGCAGGATGCACATATGCCAATATGAGACTGATCAATTGCAGTCCTAATTATCAATTGAAAGATTCAAACAAACGATAAAAATCACTTTAAACTTCACTCCACTGCACAAGCTGGTGGCTATCAGGACTCAATAACTAAGTGAATAATGTGATGGCATTTGAAGCGAAAGGTACTGGTTTCGAGTTTTGGAGTGAACACCAACTCTGAGATGAAGGTATATCTGGATGAAGAGTCCCAAAGAGAACGGAACGGACGTCTTGAATTCCACTGCTAGCCACTATCCATTTTGCCTATAGTAAAATGACATGATCCCACGAGCGGAATCGTGGATGCGCACTGCTGAGGAATCTCACAATAGGACGAAATGGCCGTCCAGTGCTTCTAGGTTTTCGATGGTGGTCTAACATCATTCATTTCATGATCTCAATAAAAAATATAACATCCGATATTATATTTAATTTCATAAACGTTTTTTACTACTGTTCTTAATGGTGTATATTTAAATAAAGACTTGTGTATCCGATCAACATCTGGTATCATTTTTTTCATCTCCGTCACCCTCCAGCTGGCATATGGTTTCTTCTCTATAGTGGTAGGTCATTACCGATATTCTCTGCTCAGTGGATCTGGAGTATCTTACATAGACAGTTGTTGATTAGTACACATACTATACTATGCTATACTATATAGTATTCTAAGCAACAGTATTCTTCATCCGACCACACAAATCATTTGACTAATCTGACGTCATCAATTCTTTTCATTCCAAGTCACATCGGAATTTACCATTTGGTGTTTCATGATACAATCTGTATGTGGATTATTGTGATATTAGTCTAAAAAGGGCTGATAGGGATTCATCGAAATATAAATTTTTTTTCAACCCCGAATATCATCACAGTTGCCAGTTAAGTAATATGAAAATGCAAATGAGATATGAAAAATTCTCTCATAGATAAAGTTACTGACTACACACCAATCTTTTCTAAGTCTTGATCATAGTAATGTTTTATGTATATATGATTCGTGTCTTTTTGATCAATGTTTATTTCTAAAATAGATGAAATGTGGTTAGCAGAGAAATCTAAGATGCAAGTATTGTCATATTTAGGACTCATTACTTAAATGTACCTTGATTTCAGCATTAATGTTAATACTGGAACTCGAACCCATTATCTTTAGTTTCAGGTACCTACTCATTATTCACCGAGCTTCTAAGTTCAGAAAGTTACTAGTCAGTTCAATTGAGATTCTGCTTTATCATTATTATAAATGGTTTGAATTATCCCATTGTCGATATTCTCTACTAAATTTTGATCAGTCTTGCGCTTTCCAAGTGTAAGGTACTGGGTTCAAGTGTACCTCAACACTGAAACTTTGGAAATTACGACCACCATCACAAACATGGTACAGGTACAAATAAACAACTATCTATGTAAAATACTCCAGATTCACTGAGCAGAGAATATCACTAATAACTTACCAGGGTAAAGAATAAACCACGTGCCAGTTGATGGGAGGATATATGGAAAAAAGATACCGGATGTTGATCGGATGCACTTTACGGGAAATCATCAAAGTACATCTTAAGAAAAACCTTGAATCGGTACCGTCAAGGAACAGAAAAAAGAACACATTTGGTTGCGAATTGGAATCAGAAATTAAGATCATGAATATCACTTGTGAACAAATGGAGAGGACAACCCAGGAAAGAGCTGACTGATGATCCCTAGTTGGAAATCTATGTTCTAAAAGGTGAAATAGGCTTAGGTAAGTAAATAAATAGGTCAGTAAGTAATTAGGAAAGTAAGTAAGTAAGTATGTAAATAGTTGAATCAGTATTCAAAAATTCGTTTTACTACCAGATATGAAAGTAAATTATAATAACTGATCAGTATTATGCGTTTTCAATGATCTTTTGCGTTTACTTAAATAAATTATTACGATACATTTATCTAATTATAGTATTTACCATCTTGAATTGTACAACTTGATTCAGTCTTTGTTGTTATTGTAATCATCATCATCATCATCATCATCATCATCATCATCATCATCATCATCATCATCATCATCATCATCATCATCATCATCATCATCATCATCATCATCATCATCATCATCATCATCATCATCATCATCATCATCATCATCATCATCATCATCATCATCATCATCATCATCATCATCATCATCATCATCATCATCATCATCATCATCATCATCATCATCATCATCATCATCATCATCATCATCATCATCATCATCATCATCATCATCATCATCATTGGTAACATTCCTTTAAATCATAAAAATGAGCAAATATGATTGATCATTCTATTGATTTTTTTTATCTAATTTCATGTTGAAATTTCAATATTTAAGAAAGCTAAACAGTGGATCAGATATACATATTTGATTGACATTGTGTAGTATTTTGTATCATATGACTGATACATATTTTAGCAACTTGTGAATGACCACTGTTAGTGTAATGTCCTAGTCTATGTATAATAGGAGGCGAATAACAAGAATTTCAATAAGATAATGACCACGAATGACAGTAATGGTAATGACCAATGATCAAAGTATATTTACAGTCAATATGAGTATATGTATGTGTACATTTTCGGGTATATATGGTGAATAGAATTTTTATCAGATGATAAAATCAATAAGGTATCATAATATTATAACTAAATTGAGTTACTTATGAGATCATAACAATACACAAATAATATTCTAAACTGTGTTGCATTAACTAATTATTTCCTGAGTAAACAGTTAATGATTATTATTAGAAAGAGTTTTATGGAGATTTTAGCAATTTTATAGTCGAATTCATGAGTCAATCGAAGCTAGATCACCATGGAAAACTTAGAAGTACTGAACGGCGGTTTCGTCCTATTGTCAAACTTCCCCGGCAGTACGCATCCACGATCCGGCCCCGCGAGATTCGAATCCAGAACTTATCGGTCTCGCGTGCGAACGCTCAACCTCTAGACCACTGAACAGTCATCCATTGGTGTTAATGTACAACTTCAACCAATCCACGAAGTTGCACCACCGTCCACCATTGTTATCAGTGAGTTACGATCTCACAACAGACCCAGATGAATTCCACTGGTGGATGCGCACTACTGAGGAATCCAACAATAGAACGAAATGGCCATCCAGTGCGTCTAGGCTTCCAGTGGTAGTCTAACATCAATCAATTCATGATCTCAATCAAAAATCACTATGGTAATCAGTATGTTTACGTATAATTAGATAATATGTTATTAGTTGAAATCTAACCAAGGTAATTAGTCAAACGGTTTTTTGTCATGACTTGATCTAAACGAGTGGGACTAGTGAAAACCAGATATCATCGGGGTAGATTCTTTGTGTTGGTGTCACTATTTCAAAACAAGCTGGTCCAACAGAATAGTTAATTTAGTGAATACAAAAAAGGCGAGTTACATTCTTCTTCTGATGTATTAAATTGAGTATCAAGTAAGAAGGGTTGAAATGATTGTTTACGAGACAGAACATAAAACTCTTTCCTTGTCTACTATGAATATTAAACAATAAATTAATCTATAATATTATCTATCACTATAAGCAAAGATGGATAGTGGCTAGCAGTGGAATCCAGTTTGATGCGCGTTTCGTCCTGTTTGGGACTCGTCATCCGGAAGTACTTACATCTCAGAGTTGATGCTCACTTTGGGACTCGAACCAATTACCGTTCGCTTCAATGCTTGTGTATTAAGGCAATACGCACAGTATGCACATATACCAATATGAGAATGATCAATTGCAGTCTTAATCATCAATGGGAAGATTCAAGTAAATCAGTACAAAGTAAATTATCTATCACTGTGTAAAATAGTTTGTCAACACTCCAAAAGTTCTGCTTACCATCTCTAAATTAAGCAAACTATTGGAAATATTAATGTACAATTAATTAGTTTCCAAAAGTTCAGTGGGTGAGATTTTATTCATACGAATGACTAACTAAATAAATTCTGGAGAATCTAGGGAAAACTTCTGTTTGGTAGAATTGAAAAGTAAGATAAATATCATTGATAGCATGTAATAATTGTCGTGTATTAGTCACATCAAAAATTAATTCGAATTAAAAATGTTGATAATTACATTTCGAATTAATAATCCAAAGGTGATAGGATCATCATTCGACTCGAAGAACTTGATTTGAATCCACGGTGAAGTTATGGATATGCACCCTTTGAAGAATTATAAACCAACACAAAACATCTACCCTGATGATATCTGGTTTTCACTAGTCCCACTCGTTTAGATCAAGTCATGACAAAAAACCGTTTGACTAATTACCTTGGTTAGATTTCAACTAATAACATATTATCTAATCATACGTAAACATACTGATTGCCATAGTGATTTTTGAGTGAGATCATGAACTGATTGATGTTAGACTACCACTGGAAACCTAGACGCACTGGATGGTCATTTCGTTCTATTGTTGGACTCCTCACCAGTGCGCATTCACGACCCCGCTCGTGCGATTCGAACCCAGGACCTATCAGTCGCGCACGTAAGCGCTTGACCTCTACACTACTCAGCCGGCTGGTATCCACTGGTGTTAATGTTCAACTTCAACCAATCCACGAAATTGAGTGATACATCCACCATTATCTTCAGTGAGTTACTATCTCACAACAGACCTGGTTGAACTCCACTGGTCACTGCTTCTCACTAGAACTCCAGGAAATACCTCTTGGAGACCGTTACGAGTGAGCATGTAGAGGCCAATTTCCGCAATATCTGACTCCAATAAATAGTATCAATATTTGTTCTTGCTTTATTTAAATTCATAAAGGGAACTAATTGCATGAACTAGTATCCCGTTAACTGAATATTTAATGCAGACTAAATCTCCTAGTAGAATTATGGATTTACTCAAGATTATTCAAAAGCGGGAACATCAGTTATAGAGATAGTTTATTGTTAAAGAATGGCAAAATCCGCAAGCAAGCACACAGGGAAACTAAGAGTGTGTGTATGTGTGCGAGTCTGATTGAGCATATGTCTGAACATCAATTTTAAATCTATTCTCTCATTGGTTGTAGTACACAAACAATCAATAATTTATCCATACTTGATTAACACTCATAAATATATATGGATTTTTAACAATCACACACACACTCTTGGTTTCCCTGTGTGCTTGCTTCGTGTACACTTGCGGATTTTACCATTCTTTAACAATAAACTATCTCTATAACTGGTGCTGAGGTTTTTGAATAATCTCGAGTAAATCCATAGTTCTACTAGGAGATTTAGTCTGCATTTAATACTCAGTTAAGGGGATACTATTTATTGGAGTCAGATCTAGAGGAAATTAGCCTGTACAAACTTGGTGAGCCGCATTTAGAACCCGCACCATTTCTCTACAAAGTCTGCCGCACATTCTCCAATCATTTACATTGGAATTACTATTACGATTATTAACAATTCTTTGAGAGTCATAATAAATTTACTCACAACATTGTTCCTTTGAAATTATTGCTGTATATTCGCACATTTAAACCCAAAGTGACAGTTTTTATTCGTTGAGTCTCATATATATTTCTTGTTGTTATTTTTGATTTCCTCATATTGTATATTTCGATCCTCAGCTTATTATTATTGTTATTGTTATTATTTCTTCGTATCATGTCACTAGACAATTCGTTAAGCCTTTCAACTAAGTCTACTTCCATGGGTGCCATCTCTGTACCTTTACCTGTCTTTAATCCTCAAAAGGCTGAACTCTAGTTTGCACGCTTAGGAAGCTTTTTTGTTGCAAACAGAATCACAAGTCAGAACACGAAATTTAGTTACGCAAACTCATTGCTGCCAGACGACGTTATCGAACAAGTGCCTGACGTTATTTTCAAGCCGGACTAAGACTCGCCATACGATTGCCTAAAAAGAGAGGTCATTCGTGTTACATCTCTCACCGACCAGCAAACAAATGATCAACTTTTAGCTAATGTAGAGCTAGGTAACAGTACACCATCTCAATTAAAACGCCACATGACAAATTTATTAGGGAATCGTATAGTAGATCAACGTCCACTATATCAATTGTGGTTAAGATATCTCCCGCAAAACATCAAACAGATTCTAGCGATTGGGGACGAAGATATTGATTTTGATAGGCTAGCGGACATAGCTGATAGGATTTACGAGTGGACTGGGGCTCACGCCGTATCGCACATACAATCAAACTCAACTGACAAGATCACTGAGTTTTAACGAACAGTCGACGTCCTCACTAAACAGACAGCCCAACTCCAATTTTTGAATGCCTCCCACTGCAAGTGTAAAGGAAGGTTCATGAGCTGTACACGTCGTAGTTCAAGCACTACCGGACATAATATTTGTTGGTACCATAGAACGTATGGTAAACAAGCCAAAAAGTGTACTCCTCCCTGTAACAAGCACACAGAAAAGGGAACGTCAAGGCCGACGTTTAGTGACGACTGTAGTCGCTGGCTAAAACTCTCAAGACAGTCGTTTGTTATATGTCACAGGAAAAATTACCGGAACACAGTTTTTAGTCGACACCGGGGCAGAGGTTAGTGTAGTACCACCTACTACACTTGGGAAAAACACACCTGACCCTAAACTAAAACTGCAAGCCGCGAATATATCTGAGATCAAGACATACGGTAAAAGGCAGTTACATTTAAATTTCGGGCCCAAATCCAATTTTTCATGGAGCTTCATCGTAGCTGACGTCCCTATAATCGGCATTGACTTTCTGCAAGTCCATAACATACTGGTAGACGTTAGAAACCGGAAACTTATCTTTGCCGATCATAGCAGTGAAATTAGAGAAATTATATCTAATGAGACTTCCATAGATTTATTAGTCAAACCTCACCACGAAAATAACAAATACATCAATTTACATAATCAGTTCCCGGACTTATTACGACCGAGTGTCAAACGTGACAAACCGACACATACTGTCTTACATCACATAAAGACAGAGGGTCCACCAGTGTTCACACATCCAAGACTCCCTGACCCATCTCGTCTGGCTCTCGTAAAGAACGAATTTAACAAAATGATAGAGTTGGGTATCATACGTCCTTCCGATAATCCGTGGGCATCACCACTCCATATGGTACTTTCTCATTCCCTGATATAGACTGTCAAGACATGGCAAAACGTCAAAAGCTCGATAGGAAGCTACAAAAACTTTTGTAGTCTAAGGAAACGAAACTATTATTCCAAAACATCCCCATAAACAACAAGGACACCTTAACCTGTGATACCTCAACAGTTAAAACTCGCCCCTTTGTACCTTGTGACATGAGACGAAACATTTTTGAGAAATTACACAACATATCTCATCCAGGTATAAAAGCCACTGTAAAGCTTATCTCAGATAGGTTTGTATGGCCAAACATAAACAAAGATGTACGAAAA